TAGAAGTATGATCATTTGCTTTTGAATAGAAGTATGATCATTTGCTTTTGAATAGAAGCATGATCATTTGCTTTTGAATAGAAGCATGATCATTTGCTTTTGAATAGAAGCATGATCATTTGCTTTTGAATAGAAGCATGATCATTTGCTCTTTCGCGACGAGATTTTTATTCAACGTGAAGCACTTTTTAATTTAAACTACTTTAAATCTCTGCGTAGAAGCAAATTAAAAAGACAAAAATTGAAAATAATTTTTTCTTTATTCTATTTTTTAACAAAACAGCATTTTTATCTTTTTTTAAAAGAGACGTTGCTCCAAATTAACTTAGTAATGATTTAAACTATTATTTTTTAAAAAAAAATTTATAATTATTTTTACTACTTTAAGTATAATAAAATATATATAAATTTGTTTTTATTAAATAAAATTTCTATTAGTAAAACTGTGCTAAAAAAAACCAGCAACTTTTTTGCTTTCACGTTTTTCGCTTTAACAACCTTGAAACTATTTAAGTTATTTTAATAAGCTTTACTGAATGGATAGAGTATATCACAGTAAATGAAATTATAACCTAAATCAAAACAACCAGTTAAGTTAAGATAGTAACTTACAGTTACTCAAGTATTAATTTAACAATTATATTAATTTATTTAATATACTTGCAAAAGTTAGCCATAGACATGTTTCAATTTAGATCTTACATGTTGTAAACACATAATATAAGCTTTTAAATAATAATTATTTTAACAAAAATTGTCGAATAGAATATGAAAAACTCAACACCATTTTTTAATATATTCATTTTATTTAGAGCGACATCTAGACTAAACATTTTCTATAAATACGCAATTGTTTTCAGGAATTTTATTTAAAAAGAAATCAATTTAACAAGAGAACTTTAGCCTTAAAATTCACTTGATCAAATAATTTTGAGATTGAAACTTGAAATTTAAAAATTTAAAAAAAGTTTGATGAAACAAGGGATAAAAGAAGAAAGTTTTTTTTTCTTAAATCGTAAATTTTTTTAACGTTTTCAATTATATACTTTTTCTTGAAAATAGTTTTAAAAGTAGAAACATTCTATTGTAAACATCAAAGCAGTGATTGCAAATTGTAAGTTAAAATAAAAATTATAAAAATTTTAAATTAAATTAAATAAATTATTTTACTTCTGTTCGAAAAAATTTAAGCATATTCTTATACTTAATATAATTCGATTTATTAAACAAAATTTTTTCTTTCACTTTTTTTTGGAAAACAATTAGAATAAAAAAAATTGAATGAAAACATCAGTTTAAAAACCATTTGAATGAAAAACTTAATTATACTTAAATTTTTATTTGTACGCTTGATCAGGAAACGATAACTTATAAAAGACGTGGTATCTAACGTTTTTATGCTTTGATCTTAATCGTTTGGTCCATATATTATAAACTTGTATAGTTCTATAGGCGCAAATATGAAGTTTTAGTTTGCAAATATGAAGTTTTGTTTTAATTTATTAACTAGATCAATTTTATCTATTTGCTTCCTTTTATTTTAAACGCGTTTTATTTTATAAATTGTATAAATCAACACAAAACAGTGTAACGAATTTGTTTTACAAAATTTGTGACGCTGTTTTTACCCAAGCTCTTTATATTTTTAAAACAACTTTGCAGTTTGTTTTAATGTTGTTTTATAACTTTTAACAATTAAATACTTTTTTAAATTAATACGTGTTTTAACGTCAGCACGAACGTATTAAATAGTTTTCTTTGATTAATTAAAGTGGTTTAGATAATGCAATGTTGCTTTTTCTCTTACTTTTTTACTTTTACTTTTTTAAGCATAATGATACTTATATATACTTATATATTTCTTTAAGTATATATTTTACTTAAGTAAAATATATACTTAAAGAAATATCTTAATAGTATTAAAAACGTTATTGCTTATTACAACTGCAACTTAAACTTTAAGTTATAACTTAAGTTGTAAATAATAACAGTAACTTACGCTATTTGTTAACTCTGCCGAACAAAGATAATTATAAGATTATATTTAAATATGAGAGATAATATATTAAAAGTAGAACAATTACGTACTAAAGATACAATTATATACTAACACAACTTCCCTCCCCCCCCCATTACTGCAAGATTAAAGGGGGGCAAGGGGGGAATAAATTTTTTTTTTTTTCGCAATTAGATTTTTTTTGCGTTAATGCGAGCCCTGTTCAACTGACGATATCTCTAGAACCCATGTGTATTTTTAACTAAAATTTTTGCAGTTATTATTTTTTTAATATGGACTGCAAGTGAGGTAAAAATGAACAAATTCTGAGACCTTTAATGTGTGTCGAAAATGTTTTTTTTTTGATGATTTCATATGGAATTACCCACTTAAATAGGCACTTCAACATCTGAGCGTGTAACATCAATAATCAATAAAACACGGCTAAAGAAAAAAGATCTCAGGTTTTATGCCGACAAAAAAGTTTGAGTTGTATGTTCTTCAATCATGCATCCGATGACTTAAAATACAAAAACTTTTTTATTTGTTTATACCAAAAAGTAGAACCACAGTTTATCAACAGTACCAAAAATATTTTATTGAGATTTTTGTTTTTAGAGATAATTTGAATCAAAAACTAAGGTCATTTTATAACCCAAATATTTTTGAAGGCATTTAGAGTTTTTTTGATTTAAAAAAAAAATTGACTATAGCATTATATTAAGCTAATAATGTGCATGTTTTTAAATGGTAAGCGTAGATCACACAAAAAATATGCCTCCCACCAAAAAGTAAACTTCAAAAAAATTTTTTTTTAGCACTAGTCAATTTTCAAGACTCAACTCGTCAATTTTCAAGACGGAAATTTAGTTTTTAAAACCAGTTTATTATTTGGAAAACCTATTTTGCATTACCATTAAATAAAATTTTTTTAAAAAAGTACTGTCACAGATTTATTATGTCAAATGTGGGTTGTTTCCTATTCATTAAAAGTCCATTTACTATAGTTTTTATTGGTATTATATTCTTAGTTTTGAATAGTAATGGTCTTGTTTATTATTACTTTGGAAACGTTGTCTCGATTCTTAAAAACGTTAAGTCGCTAAAAACCTCAATAGTCATACAAAAAAATCTTAAATTTTGAGGTTTAAAAGTTCAATAAGTTTTCAACTAATAATAATATAACGATAAGCTTGTTATTTTTTAACTGATCATGTTTAGCTCTAACTTACAGAGTTTGTTTTGTTTTCATTTTACATTTAACAAAAAAAAATGTTTAACTGCCTAACTTAAATCTGCTCAGGTAACTAGCCCTAATAAGCTCTGAAACTGCTACTCCAGAAGGTGCTGCAATAGGATTCAAAAAGAGAAAAAATTATTTCATTAACAGCTTATTGTCTAATAGTAGACAAGTTAAATATATAAAGCTTTTTGTACTAAGTGCTCTTGTTTTTGCTTCATATTTCAAAATTCCATTTTTGCTCATTGCACAGCAGAAGGAAATGTTTTTTGACCGTATATTGGTCACTCTTTGCAGAGTCCTCTTTCCAGCTAAATAACGTCCTCTTCTGGTTCATATTGAAAAACTAAATCCTACTTTGTCAATAAAGAATATTTTGTCATTCAAAAATGGTCATAAATCTTTCTGCATAAGTAGCTCTTTTATTAATAACGTAATTAAAACTATCAATCCATCTTGCTATAGTAGAATGACTAACTGAAATGTATTTTTGTTCAAAAAGTATTTGTTTAATTTCCTTAAGAGTTATTCCACAATCATCATCAATCCAACTTTTAATTAGTAACTTGAATTCTTCTGTTAATTTTTTGTTACTAAAACCACATTTAATCGCTGTTCTATCGGCAAACCATTTTTATATTTTTTAATCATTGAACAGATTCTAGCTTATTTAATTCCATGAATATTTGCAATTTCTGATTGTGAATTTCCCTTTAATTTAGATTCAATTACTCTTGAATGGTTTTCATTGTTGACCATTTGATTCGGCATTGCTGTTTATAAATATTGAAAATGATATTCAAGCTTTTACTATGAACTCTGATTGTCAAATATTTTATGTAATAAAAATATTTTTATTTTCTAGATAAATAAATTATGACATTAACTTATAGTTTGATGACAATTTATTATTGTTAGGATATTTTCCAAGCAGTGAGTATTTTTTTTTTTTGGCATTAAAAATAATTAATCCGGTCAATAGAAATAATGAATATGGCAATTAAAAACAATTATCATGGTAACTTGAAATAATTAATATCCACAAAATTTATTTTACATATATATTTTATGAATATCCAAAAAAAAAATTTAAAACCACATTTATGATTTCAGTATCCACTTATAATATTTTAGAATTAAAAAATAGCCACATTAATTATTTTATTGTTCTGATTAAATACAACCCATTATTATTTAGCAAAAATTTTTGTCATAAATATGAAATTTTTTATTCAAAACTGTGATGCCACAGTGTTAAAACTGAATGCAAAAGTGTCAAAATATAGTGATACAATGTTGTAATTGAATGTAACAATCTTAAAATGAGATGATACAATATCGAAATGAGGTGAGAAACCCTGTGAAATAAATAAATATATTTGCATAATTGACTATGTATGAAATGTCAATAATTATGTCATACTGAAATAGTCATCTATGGGGACTTGAGTACATATATCAAGTGAGGGTTGTAATGTAGTGAGGGTTGTAATGTAGTAAGGGTTTTGGTTATTATGGCCAAAAAGTTGTCAATAATACTACTGTATTTGAAATCTTATGTTTTTATCTTGTACAAATGACAACTACTTTAATTAAAAATCTAATACATTAGTTTTTATCCTGAGGCACAAGTCAATTTTACTACAAAATCAATAAGATTTTTACAGCTAATTTAGAATATTTAAAAAACTTATCAAATAAAACACATTAAATGTTTTTAATAAAAATAATATTTTTAAAAATTAGAAATAAAAATTAAATTACCTATAACATATAGTTTTAAGCAATTATTTTCTATTGATTGATGAGCCAGCTCCAGTTCATCATCAGTTAATATCAAAATATACTCATCTTTGTTATCTAATAATTCAAAATGAACTATACATATTGTATTTTTGTGCTTAAAACAAGTAAAACTAACAACAACAAAAACAAATCAACATAAAACTACAAAACTTTTGGAAATAATTTTAAAATATATAGAGGCTTTAATTCATTATGGAACATGTCCTAGCTTTTAAACATTTTTATGATGTTTATGCTAAGCCCTAGTTTTAACTGAGTTTTTGCAAATAAATATTTTTAAATCTTTGCCTGGTAGTGTACTTCTTCTTTTTCTAGGTTATATTTCTTATGATTATAAGTTTTCACTATATAAAGTGCTTTTCTAACTATTTTAATCCCTTGAAAACAAAGAAGAAAAAAACATAAGCATAAGATGATATAAGAAGATCACAAATATAGCTTAAGGTGCTACCACAAAAGCTAAACAGTTGTTTATGATGCTTAAGCCATTCACATAGTTTTGTAAATTTTGTCACTGATAATACTTAGATATATATAGGTATTCAATAAAAAATATTCATTTAGGATAGATTTTAGCTGAACCCAGCTATTGTTCTGTAAAGGATACCTATAGATATATATAGGTATTCAATAAAAAATATTCATTTAGGATAGATTTTAGCTGAACCCAGCTATTGTTCTGTAAAGGACCTTATAGGCAAAGACTTTATGGATAAAAGCCTTGCACCCCTTCTTCATCTAATAAGCTGGCATATATATAAACCTGTATAATGCTGTTTCAGGCCTGGGCTGATGAACATTGGATCATTATGATTTTACTCATGGGTTGTTGCTTGTGCCATCAAATTCCCTAATTATTATAAACAACAAAGTAACAAAAAATACTATAAAAAAAATAATCATTACCATTAAATGATTTCAATCTACCCATTACAAATATTTGTGACCTTTGATGTAACTTTTCATCTGTTAAATCTTTTTCAAAATTTATCAGATCATCTACTATCCCTTGATATATAAAAACTTCAATAGTCACATGCTTGGCAGGGGCATAACTCCCTAATTATTATTGATTTTGTTATTATCTATGTAATTTCACTTTTCACTCAACCACCTTTTTTTTCACTTTTTATCATTCTCCTTATCCCTAAGTCTAGACTTTTTTAAAGTTGTTTCTGATCAAATTTACTAAGATCTTTTTCTTCATCAGTGTACAGATTTCTATCCTCTTGTTTTATTGCTGGCAAGGTATAAAATCACATTGTAAATGTTGTTGAACTTGCTCTAGCTGCTCAGCTTGAACCTCTCTTATCATCATAAAGTTGCATTTGTTTCTCTTTTTAACAAATACTAATATTGTGGTTCCTTAAAGTTAGTTATTATCAGTTGCTTCATCACTAAAACTCAATTTTACTTGACTCATCTTTCACCTGAGTCAAATAAGATTGCTACACCATTTAATGTATTTGTTCCTTTAAGTCCACAAAAATCTTATTTATATAGTCATCTTTCTTGAACATAAGATAAGATTATTAATCATTATCATTGTGTAATTATCTAATTAATTATCTAATTTTAATTTAATTAAAATAATCCTAAAATATTTACTGCATTGTTTATGGTTTTTACTTTTTTAGGTTAGTTTTTGTTTGTATTCAACAAACATTTTAATACATTCAGTATTAAAAATACATTCAATTATTATATTAAAAAATAAATTTTTGGAGGTATCTAACATACTCAAAAATAACTAACTAAAATAACAAATAATAAACTAACTAAAATAATAAACTAAAATAATAAACTAAAATAATAAATTAACTAACTAAAATAACTTTAAATTGTATTCTGTAACAGAACTAAGACATACTATTTCAATATAAAGCGTCTATATAACCAGTTAGAAACAAAAATTAAATGGTATTATTAATTTTATTTCTTACTTTTCCAAAATAAATGAAAATCTTTATTCGACAAATCACAGAAGATATTACAAATTTTTCCTGTAACGATTTTGTAGCTTTTAGCATCTCCGGTATCAACTGAAAACTTTCGTATTTCTTTTGTCTGTTCATTTTCAGTATAATATACTTTTATTGAAATCACTGAATTGGAAGACATCTTTTTACACAAATTTTGCAATTTAAATTAGTAATGTTTAATAAATAATACACTATTTTAATATTTGTAAAGCGCCTTAGCGAACCAATTTTTTTTATTGTTATTGAATACTCGTGACTTTTTCATAATAAACATTATGACGAGAAATGGTTTCTTAAAGTACGAAATAAATAATTTTCGATTGAAAAAAAAAAATTGCCAAAATGACTATGTAATTACACAGTCATTTTGGCAATTAATTTAAATCATTTATTATAGTTCATGTCATTTACGTAAATGACAATAACAAAATGACTGTGCATTCAAACTAGGTATTAGATATATGATAAATTTTAAATCAATTAGCCTGGGGTTCTAAATGATGAACTGTCGCCTAAATATCACAGAAATATGCGATATATCACATTGATTTCACCATACCTTGAAAAAACTTCCCGCACCTAAGACAGTTTCATATTTAACCATACAACACATAGCAGCCCAAAGGCTATTAATTATAATATGTCAACTTTATATACAATACACAATACATGAGAAATACACTGTCCTACAGCATTTGTAGTGATGTTAATAATCTTTCAGATTTGTGTATTAGTATTAATAAATTTACAGTTAAGAATTTTGTTTGTTCTGCAAGAAGAACGAATCTCCCCCATCAACTTTACAGCTAGTGTTCGGCACAAATTCAAATAGTTTGATCAAATATGCGTCAAATGTTTGAAATGGCCAAATTCAAATCTTCCTGTTTTGAATTTAGATCAAATTCAAATCTTTCCAAGATTTGATGTATATTTGAACGTTATTTAACTTATTTCATTTATTAATTTTAGTTATCTGAATCTATAAATTTTATTCATATTGCAGCATTTGTTACTATTTCTCACACATTACAGCTTCTTTTATTCTTTTTAATCCAACCAAGACTTCAAGCACTGGCAAGCTTGAATGGTATCTGCAGAGAGAAAATTTCTTTTGTCAGTAATAAGATTTTTTCCTAATGAGAAGAGCCTTTCTGATGATACAGATGTAGCAGGAATGGCCAGGTAATCTCTGGCCATTCTGGATAGGTTTGGATATTTGTCAGATCGAGATTTCCACCAAAGTAATATGTTGCTATTATTGCCGCCATCTAGCTTACTTGTATCATTACAATAGTTTTCAAACTCATTACATGGGTTTGATGAAACACGCGATTTGAACGGGGTATATTTTGAAACGTTTTGAATGCTTGTAGCAGTTGTAATATTGCTTGGGGCATAATTGATTTGATATTCACAATTGACTGTGTCCATAATCTTTGTATACGACTCGCTGTTTGCGCCCTTATCATTTTTGTAATATTCAATACCAAATCTTGGGTCCAGGACAGTGCAGATAGTAAAGCAGTCACTAGTCAAATTATAATATCTTGAAATTTTTGCGAACGCTGCAACTGTAGAGCGGTGTAGATTATCTTCAGGGTTGGTTTTTGTGGTCATCCATTCAGTAATGTGATCCAAAAGAATATTGAAGAGAGGAACCACCAAAGACAATGTGGAATATGAATCACCACTAATGAGCTGGGTAAATTCCTGGAATGGTTCAAGATACAAAATAATTGTTTCAAACCTGTTCCAAACATCTGGTGAAATTGATAGACAACAGTCTGGATTGTTTGCAGTTGAGTCAAAATCGCAAAAATACGCAATGAAACCAACTTTTAATTTCATTGCTCGTTTAAGCATATCAGCTGTTGAGTTCCATCTTGTAGGGACATCAAGTATTGGTTTTAAGGTGCAATTTGATTGCTGGAAACCTTTGAACCTAGAATATGATTGAGGACTGGATCGGATTTTTTTAATTCCTGTTCTAAGTTTTACAAGATCATCTTTCAAAACATCCAAACCTGCTTGCGCGCCCAAATTCAGCACATGAGCAAAACACCGGATATGCTCAAAGGTGGTTTTAATTTCGTACTTGGAATTTAAAAAATCCATAAATGAATTATTATTGGAAGCATTATCTAAGGTAATGCCCATTCCTTTGCTTGTAAGACCGAATTCAATCAAAACTGACAAGAATGCATTAGATAAATTTGAACCTGAATGGGAATCAGGCAAGGATTTGAAATCAAGAGTTTTGGCATGTAGGTTCCAGTCTTTGTCAATGTAATGAGCCGTTATGCCCATAAAAGCAATGTTGTTGGGTGATGTCCAACAGTCAGTGGTGAATGAAACCTTTGAGTCAAGATTCAAAAAAAGGGTCTTTAGCAATTGTTTTTTGGTGTCGTAAGTGTCCATTATCTGGCGTTTTAATTGGCGCGCACTCATGATTGACAAATTTGGTTTCAGTAGAGTGAGTAGTTTACGAAAGTGGCTGGACTCTACCTCATTAAATGATTGATCATTCTTGACAATCCAGCTAACTAAGTATTCATTGAATAGATCTGGAGAATAAACGATTGGTGTCATTATCATGTCATCTAAACGTCGTTGCTTTGGTTCTCTGTCCCCAAGTAATTTGCTTTTGTGTTGAGAATTTAAATGGTTCATTAGATTTGTTGTCCCACCTTTATTGTAAGCATACTTGTTCTTGTGCTTTGGACAATGCTGGCATATGGCCTTGGTTTTGTCATGCTCATCAACTGTGAAATGATCCCATACAATTGATTGTGAACGTTTGGTGGTTTTTGTAACAGAAGAAGATTCGGGTTCTGGATTATCCGACATAATTAGGAATGTATATTTGATTTCTTTCAAAACAATAGTTTGGTTAGGGGTACTAATTAATCATTCAATCAATCAATCAATATATATTTCTGAAATAGATACATTTCAAGGTTGTTTACAAATAGTAAATATACTAATATTAAGTAAACACCTAATGAAAATGATTAAAATAATAATGGTTTAAATAATAAAAATAATATTAATAATAATTATATATAAGTCACTTGTCTTTATAAATACAATAGCTACATAAACAAAGTTAGACAGTTACAAACAGTTACAACTGATAAAACGTAAAAGTAAACAATGACATATAGCAACTATTATAATGAAAAACAAGGAAAAATAATTAATGAAAATAAGAATAACGAATATTAAAATAGAAATAACCATAATATAGTTTAAAAAAAAAAAAAAACATACATAAACAGATCAAATTTACAAAAACAGCTACAGTAACAGCAAACAATACAAACACAATAGCAACAACAACACAAGTTTTCACAAACATACTACAAACAAAACGGCAAACTTAAACCGACAAAAAAAAGATTAACAAATAAATAAATTAGGAAATCTACCTGAAACCTGGAAATATAAAAATAAGTTATAGTAAAATTAAAAAAAAAAATTCTTTGCTTTCAAGCAAGCCATTATTATATTTTTTTATTATTTTCTTTTTTCGAATGATTGTTTCTTTCTCTGAATGTTTTTCGATTCGTTATTGTTTTACTTTTTCCATTTTTATTGTGGTTAAATTGTATTTGCAATTTTTTCTTTTCATTTTTACATATATTTTTTTCTACGTTTTTTCTTTTAATCTTGTACTTTGTTTACATTTCTTTTCTTTTTTTCTTTCTCTATGCTCTTTACTTTCTCTTTAATATTAACAAACTTTAATTAAAAACTCTTTTTTTTTTTTTTTTTCCGTTATTGAAAGGCGACCGCCATTCCAGAAACCACTGCAAAGACCCCGGAATAAAGTGATACATATGTTTGCGGGCCTGTAAAATTTGGCGTTTTTTTTTCAAACGCAAAAATTGAGAACAAAGTGAATATTTGAAAATCAAATCCAAATCCTCCAGATATTTGTCAAATCAAATTCAAATCTATCCCCTCAAAGAACAGTTCAAATTCAAATCTTTAAAGGTTTGACGTATATTTGATTTTGCCGAACACTATTTACAGCTCTCTCGGCTACTATGTTGGTTCGAGGCACATCAAGCACTGATGGTTCCTTCTTCCAGTGGGTAGAGAAGCATTTTACAGCTTTGAAACACTTAAGTTGGGATATTGCTGACAGCAGGTCTTCATAAGCCGCCTCTGCAAAGTGCTGGTTTGAAAACCAGGCCCGCGACCACATAGTTGCAACAAAATCGCAAGTTATCCTCAGCTGTTCTCGCCAGTTTGGAAGAATGAAAAATGCAATAAGCGCAAAAATGCCGCTTGATTTCCACCTGGCACTGTGCAGTGATGGCAGCTTGTGCCATTTGATACGAGGCCATTTTTCTTCATTTTTGTAAAACTTGTAAGCTTCACAAAGCTGAAAAAGAAATTTAAAGTTATCTCTCCAGCCAAGGTTTTCATACTCTGCTACCACTGCTGTGTTCTTGTAGGCATTTTTTAAATCATCGTAATGCTCCATAATCTCATCAATAAACTTGTAGTTAATGTTAGGCGACTGTGACTGTATAGGAAAAAAGAAATCCAACACATTTCGTAGAACAAGATCAAGAATGTGGTGTTGGCAGCCGATGTATTGAGTTTCATCGAATCCCTTGTCTCGAAATGTTTTCTGAAGCTTGGCTACAACTCCACTCTTGCGACCATTATTTACAGCTGTTGTGTCAGAGATGATCATCTGAGTACTGTTCCATGCATTGTAATCATCAAGTAGGTCCTTTAGTGGTTTGTATATGCTTGCAGATGATCCACTGTCATAAACCAAAATGCCAAGTTGTAATGTTCTTTTGTCATTTTTCAAGCACACAACTTGGTACTCAGTCTTGTCAATTTTCTAACCATCAAAATGCAAAGAAAATTTCTCTTCAGAGATCAGTTTCATGAGGCGGTTCTTAACTTATTCTGCATCTCTGATTGTTCGACGCCAGACTCCAGACTGTGATGGTGTTGGGACACAAACTCCATCCTCAGCCAGACTTTGAAGCACCCGTGACGTTATTCTGGTTGACAAAGAGTGACTAAACACTAGTTTGGCAGCAGACTTAGTTGACTGGCGTGTTGCACGCTTTCTGCGAGATTCTCCTGGAACTACCTCCGAGTCACCACTGCTGCTTCCTTCTTCAGAATCTTCACTATTGCAGCAAAGTGGTACAAAGATAAACGCTTGGTTTGTCGAGGGTTCTGATGTGCTTTTGGCCCTTTTTGATAGA